TCCAACATGACGTATAGAACACCGCGGGGTAGTTGACATCCGCCGTGCCCTCATGAACACGACTCCACATGTCTGGCAACTTGTTCAGTTCTCCATGTACATGTGTAGTAGTAAAATTGAACTGTGCAATAATATGATGCCATCGCTGCAACATACTATTCAGCTTTAGCTGAGTGTTCATATATATGAGAGCCTTATGGTCGGTGTGTACAGTAAACCGTTGTCCAATGAGATGATCATGAAAGCGAACCAAAGCACCGGTAAGTGCTAGTAAATCTTTCATCGGGGTTGCATATATCTGTTGTGCCTTGTTGAGAGTTTTCGAGAAGAACATCAGGTAATGTTTGCGTCCGTCAATCAATTGAAACAATGCGCCACTAATTACATAATCGCTTGCATCCGTCTCTAACTCAAGTGGTACACCAACAACACGAAAGTTCAACCTGGCTGCCGATACGATAGCCTCCTTCATCTGATCCCACGCCAATTAATGTTCTGGCTTCCAACGATCCCCAATGGGCTCTTTTGGCTTAAGTTTAGAGAATGTTCGGAGTGGAGCTACCTTGTGTGCAACGTTCGGTAAATGCTCATGTAGAAAGCTTGCTAATCCTAACGCAGAGGCAATATCCCTTTGACATCATGGAACTGGCCAGTCAATTAAACGTTGCTGCTTCTCATGATCCACGTCAATGCCTTTAGCTGATATCTTCTTTCCCGGGACCATCGCCTCTCGCACCGCAAAGTGACATTTCTTCTGATTAAGTCTGAAGTTATTCTCCGTCAAGCGTCGAATGACTTCTTGAACCGTAGCAATGTGCTCCTCGTAATCGTCCGATGCAATTATTAGATCATCAACATAGCATTGCACGTCCAGTCCTGCCATCAAATTACTGATTGTACGTTGAAATTGGGACGTGAGTGTCGTCAATCCAAAGGGAACCGACGTAAACGAGTACTGCTGACTGATTCATGTAAACGAGAGAATGTGCTGCGAATCGACGTGCACCGGTAACCGATGGTACGCGGCCGATAAGTCCAACGTGGTGTAGTAACGCTTGCCCTTCAAGTTGCTGCTGATTTCGTTGACCTTCGGAAGCGTAAACTGATCGCCCGGAATAAGAGCGTTAATCTGCCGCAGATCCAAACACACGCGCACCTTAATAAGTTCACCCGACGGTGTGAATGATGGTACTGCCAACAAAGGAAGGTTAATGATCGACGCCGATGTTCGACGATTGGTGATCAGTTCGTGTTCCCATTTGCTTACTTGCTTCGTTACATGTGGTTTGTATTTGTCCGATACAAAATTTCTTGTCTGCCGACGTAGGCCCAGGAGTTTATCCCGAGGAATAGGGAGTGACACCTCACTACCCGGGAGTGTGCAGCGAGCTGCATCCAGAATAGTGTCATTAGCATCCAGGTATTGGCGTAGGCGTGCGCGTATATCACCTGGCTTGGACAAGTCTGGGCCATTCGAAGATTGATTGGTTCCAGTAGTTCATCCATAACATTACGATTAATCTCTGGAAATGTAAATACTAATCCGGATAAGCCTAATCCCAACCCACCCATAATATCCATACCCAAAATTATATCAATGTTATCCGGTAGGTTCATAAGTTCAAATGTACAACCCTCAGTAGCAGCTGACCCGTACTGGACCTTTGTTGCTTGTGTTTTGCCCAAGTGTGGAGTCCTGAAGGCTTTGTCCGCCAAGTATATGTGACTATCCTTGGCCGGTGGTGTAATAGAGAGGTGTGCCTTAGCTGCAGATGCCTGACGGTTGCCTGACGGTTGGCCCCCGTGTCAATAAGGGTGCGCATGTCATGTCCGTTCACTTGCAAAGTAACATATACACGGTTGTTAGTAGGAAACAGTTTATCTTTTACTGCAAATATTTTTTGTTGCCGTACGACCAAATGACATGCACATGTTCACATCAGGCACCCCAGCCTGTCAGTCCGAATCTGTTCCAACTTCCCAACCATCGGGTGTCTGCTCTTCTTCCATCAACTCATCGTCACTCTGCACATACGACTCCTCGACCAAATCATGAATGTGCATCACTTCAGTCTCTCCCGTCTCGGTGGTTGGTTGATCAGGCATAATATCACCATCCACTAAGTTAACACGGGGTCGGAAATTAGTACCCGATCCGTGAGTCCCGCGTGTCGATGTGTTTGTAGCCGATGTACGTTGAACTGTAGCCCCACCATTTTTTGTGCGGCTACCTGTGCTAGTCTGGACCGGTACTCGTTGTAAGTTAGGACAACGACTTGCATGTCCTGGTCCCGGCGGAATGTTTTGTTCACATGGCCGACAACGAACCCCTGGGTTCGATATAGGCGGTGCATGCGGGTTGGCGCGTGTATTCGCTCCCGTACGCAAATTTGAGCGTGATCGCGAGTTCCCCAGAATTCGTAGAGGTCGCGAAAACTTGTCTTGGGCGATTTTCTTCTGCTTTGTCAATGTTCACACGGGATACATCGCGCATCTTTTCAGTCGAGCAGTTTCGCCACTGTGGATGCATTCGAAGAGTATCCCGGTAGTACTCCCCACCTGCAGCTTGGCGTATATGGTTAAGTGTACCATGGTTGCGGTATACTTGTAGGGGGTTTTCATACCGTCGCATTTCCATGAACTCCACCTGGCGTTCAAAATCACGAATCTGAGTATCAAGCGGCACCGATGGCTTCAGCTTCATGCATGCTAACACCTGGCGGTATGCATTATCCTCCAGATCTTGCTCTTGTGTACGTACAATAAAAGCAGTGGCAGCCTCAAATGTCATAGACTGTAATTTTTGCTCGTTTTTCACAATAAAATCCAATAGCGCCTTAGGGACCCCTTCATGCTGTAGAGCTCGATGTAAACCCATTTGCATATGAATCGGTTCTAGTTTGTGGAATCGCGCATTCTTATGCCAGTCCAAGATAAAAGCATGTAACTGTATCTTCTGCGGATTGTCCAAATAATAATTGCCCTGTGGGTTGGGTGGCCATTCCTTCGGTGTTCGTTTGTCGACCGTCTTCAGAGTCTCATTCGACGCACGAATTAGACCCCGTAGTGCACGCGCATCGTCTATGCGTCCATCCGCTTCTGCCTGCATCATTCGTTGGGTCAGTTGAAAAACTTGCATTTTCATCTCGGCCGCTGTCGATGCAGTAATGCTAGGCTCCATAGGTTCCGAGCCCTTATGACGTTTCACTGGCTGTGGGTCTTCCAAGTAGCGGTCGTGATGAACAGGAAGGTGCTTGCGGTATGCAATCGTATCAATAGGGCATTCGCCGAATCCTGAGAATTCTCCTGTAGCTCATCTGGTGAACGTGGTTTACGGTGACGTTGCAACTTATCACAAAATAAGTTCGTTGCTACACGACTCTGGTTCATCTGTTGCTACGGGGACTTCATTACTCTGCGGAAGGCATCAAAGGAACGGTTTGCCGACGACGATAAATTCCGAGGAGTGTCCATGTCCAAGTGTAAATCCGCAGGTTCCAAAAGAAAATTCTACCAGGCGATTTCACCAAGGGTTTCGAGTCCTGATACCAATCCGGACCATTAGGCGGCATCTCATCAGGGGTCGGAATTGTTTGTGCCCGATTTTGAGTGTTTGTTAACAATCGCGCTCTGCGAGTAGCATGGAGATTATCGTTCGATGCCTGATACCAATCCGGACCATTAGCCGGCATCTCCTCAGGGGTCGGAATCGTTTGTGCCCGATTTTGAGCGTTCTGTAACAACCGCTCTTTGCGAGTGATCTGGACATTACCGTAAGAAGCCACCTGAGGTATAGGCTTCGTCCGTCCAATTTTACGTTTCACGGGGCTAATTTGGTTCATGTTGTTGACCCTGCCTGAGTTGGGTATTGAAGAGCCCAACGTTGTTGCACTGTCGGTTCGGTCTGAGTCTCAGAAAAGTCCTCATCCACTGTCGCCTGGTCCAAGTCCTGGGGTGTAGACGTGTCAATATCCGCCAGTGACAACTCACGGAATTGGCGGAGTTGCTCTTGAATAAGATGAATATTGTCCGTGGCCTCCTGCACATGCATCATCGTATTCAGGTGTCCTTCTACATCAGAAATCCAATTTGGGGACTGTTGAAGCTTACCCAAGGTTTTAATTGAGTATTGGCCCTCCGAAAGCAAACGGGTTAATTCCAAATGGATTTCGACCTTCTTGGCATCTTCAGGTGCAGGTTTCTTGGCAAGTGCTGACTCCACCTTATCGCATAGCTCGGTTAAACGGCGAAGATTTCGAATCAACCGTCTCAACAACCGATCACAAGCTTTCTTACCCACCATTGGCAACGGTCTAGTCTTGGGTCCCGTCATTGTTGATAAAAATAAAAATAAAAATATTAAATTGAACTAAGTTGTTTCTTAGTTGATTTAATCTTCAAAGAATGTAGTATAATAAATACAGTAGTTCGGTGACTTAAAAATGTAGTCAAAACCAAGTGACACTTAATAAAGAGTATTAAGTCTGAAAAAGGTGAACTCGGTCAGAAGTGCCGCTATGAACGACGCGTCTGCTGTATTTATTAATCACGTTCCTATGTGGGACGAGATTTTCTCCGGCAGATTGTGAAAATCTCCGTATCTAAGATTATGGTCTCCTAGTTACTAAGTAATGATGACATCTGATGAGTCATCATTCTTTCTCACTAACTTATATATTCCACTATCTAGTCCGGTCCCCGGGTCCGTCCTTCAATAAAATTCTCTTAGGCCCGAGCCTCTGATTCGGTCCTAAATATTTCCCTTAGGTTCGGTCCTGTGGTCCGATCCTAAATTCCTCTTGTCAGTCCGGTCCTCTGGTCCGGTCCTAAATCCCCGTATACGGTACTTTTGGGTGACAGCCGATGCCTTTGACGACCCCAACGTCGTGCCCGTATATCGCAAACGGATTCAAACGCATGAGAGTCGACGACAACGACGCCTGGTACAAGGTTAGAGCAGCCTGGGTCGATGGTATGTCTGACAAGCACCTTGCACTTGCTTATTCTTTTTTTCCTTTGTTGTTTCCCGTACCCGTATGAGAATCTCGACCGTTACCTGGTCCTCCATTCGTGTTGGGCATTGTCTTCTTAGTAGATGGTGTGAATTTCACCACAGAATTCGGCCGTTTCGAAAACGTCTGGTCTGCTCTCGAATAAAATTCAGTCCAAGACAAGTCGGCGAGTTTCATGATGCCGTAAGTTGGCCCTTTAATCGAAATCTCACGTACCTTGTCTGGGAAAGATTGATTGATATCTGCGTACAACACTTCCTGGTCTTTTCGGTGAAAAGCCGCCCAAAAAATTGTTTGTACCCACAACACGCACATACTCAGTTTGTCTGGTGACATTTCTTGCGTCTCAGCGCGTGATATATGGGTGTCCAGTTCCAAGAGGTAGTGTGACACTGGTGTTCCTTCGTCCGGTGGCACCATTATCGATACCAATAGTTCCGGCCTAGGATCTGTTGAGAACAGATGGACTATCATCTCGCTCTGCTCCTCTCACGTCTTCAGCTTTGTTATAGCAGCCTTAGCCTTCTCCAACTTATTATTTTTATAAGATGACGGCTTAAAACTCTGTTGCGCAGCCTCAAACCATAGGTTCTTATATAAATTCGCAGAAAGCATGATTTGACCAAACTCTTTCAAAGCTCGCGACAAAAACGCTAAGTTACTTGTATGGATTGGGTCCTTATGGTCTTTTCGATCTGGACGATACGTAGTGGGTAACTTACCTATGTCCTTGACGAACTTCTTACTGTCCACTGACTTTTCGGCGTGTACGATGTGTAACTCCGTATCGATCTTGGATGGATTGGAAGTGCCCCGCCATTGTCATTATCAAGCTGGCTTGCTCTATCTTCTCTTGATCCATCGCTAGTGTAATAGCCGGGCCTCCACATTAGACTCTATGTTATTAACGTACTCTTAAGCAGTACGTAAACTATAAACGCACTCTTAATAGTACGATGAACTTAAGTTTCCTAAATGGGTTAGATATTTGGACAAGGCCATTAAAAAGGCCCCAGTAAAATACCAAACATAAGATTTGGTCTAGTTCTATTAATAGAACTAAATATACTTTCCAAATCTATTTAAATCTGAATACTTCGGCAGCGAGATGGCTCAACCGAACATAGGTTTCTAAGGACTATTAGCGTTGCTTAGTTTATCCTCCGTTCAGCCAACCAGATGTGCCAGTCTGATGAAGGCTAAGTCGGTAATTCTTGATAAGTGGCAAGTTATTGGTTAATGCAATAACTATGGACATCAGGAGTATTTTTCTTTTTTCTATTCTTTTTTTTCTAAAGATAGGATTTTATGAGACTCTCGGATTCGCCCCAACGAAACATACCATAAATTCTATTAGAGCGACAACGAAAAGCTAAATAAGATCCCTTAGGCGAAAACAGTACTGCGAGGATTATATATAGACAATGTCTCAGCCTCACAATCTCTCAGAGTATTGCTGTTTTCACGAGGCATACCAACTTTACTAAAAGACTCATTTCGTTTATTTATTTCGAATTTAACTATACTTAGACTTAACCTAAGCGTTTAATTACTCTAAGGCGTTAATATCGCCTTGATAGACCGAAACTTACATTTTTTTAAAGTTAGCAAAGGTATTAATTACTTAGACTACTTAAACGTAAAGGTATATAACTACCACAAAATTTTACTTAAGCACAGTCATTCCTTAGAAGAATAAGACTGAAGTCATAAGTTAAAATTATGACAAAGAAAGACAATACGCCGGCAAAGAAACGCAAGGCCGAACGTAAAAAGATGGAAAGAGAAGCTGCTAGCGCTGCTGCCGATGCGTTTAACCCCACCGTAGCCGAAGCACTTGACTCCGACAATAATAGTCAGGACAATGCCTCAGATAAGGATGTAGCCACTCCGATTAAGGAAACTACTTCTACAGATAGAGCCCGAGGGCCAACTATTGCCTCAGCTTCGAAGCTGCATTTACGAAGCCAAGAAGTGAGACAAGGGACAAGTCTCAAGACGCCTCAACCAATTCTTCTGACGAAACTCAGAAAGAAAGGTCCCTAATTATAGGGGACAAAGACAAATCTCAGAAGGTACCTATACAGGAACCAGAAGAGGAGGCAAGCTCAAGTGGCAACCCCGAATCTACGTCCGAGACCAATGAACCAACGCGCATAAGTAGGTTAATTACTGAAAACACTGATCTTAATAATCAGTTAGCCGCCCTTATGAAAGGCATGACTGTTGAACATGTAGATCGAATGTATAGATCAGGAAAACATACACAGCACTTACGCGAGTATGTTTCTCCGGGCATTACTGAAGCCCTACAGAAGTGGACAGAACATCGACTGGCAATTACGCCCGAAAAGCGTAAAGGCCTGAGCGTTACACCTGTGGCAGATGAGCCAGATGTGCTCAGCGTATCTATACCTTACGAGGTACTACCACCACAACACCAGGCTAATTATTCGCCTGTTCAAATGCCCGGCCACGAGTCGCCCGTCCTTGATGGTATTATAGACCCAGAGGCTGGTAAAAATACTCCGCCACCTATACCCAACTGGGATGACAATCGTCGGAAACCAGTTAAGACGGGGTATGTCATCCAGACGCATGAATCACCCAAGATTATAATACTAACTACTATTCAAGGAACAGAGCACCGAAAGGCCTCGACCATGGGCTTTACAAGGGGTAATTAACACTCCCGTAAACGTGTTAACGATGTCGAATTTAATCGCTTCGATCACACACCATTACACCAGCCTGCAGAGGATTTCCACTCTGACGAGGTGACCGAACTTAACAAATCGGTCGACGATTACACCATTAAGATGGAAATCGCCCATGACAAGCACCGTGCTGATGACGTATCATATTTTGCTAATATGATCGCGATCAAGCAGAAGCGCGACCACCGGGATAAACAGAAATACAAGTGACAGATCAGTCGACTTAAGTCGAACTGGGATGCCAACAGCAAGCAGGTCTAGTATATAAACAACCATGACCTCGACACGCTAACCCGTACGCTTAATGCGTTTACGGTCATGCTGGAGACGAATGATATCTCTCCCCAGCAATGGATTTCTGCTTTAATGCAATCGGTTGACCCTACAGGAACAAGTTACTTGATCCTGCAGCGACACCAGCATGCGCTAGACACTTGTTGTGATTGGCCAGCTGTGTGTTGGTTGGTTACGTCCTTATTAAGCAAGGACATGCGCAGTCCAGGACTGAGTTCAATCTTAACTGAACCAGTTGAGAATACTCCTATTCAGAGTTATATTCTGAAACTTGATGCTGACCTTAAACGTCCAGATATAACAAAGGACAAGGCGCAGCGATGATACGAGTTCCTGGTTAAGCATGTTTTTTTGTCAGAACATAGGGAACAACGACCGTGAAAGTCTGTACACCGAGTTGCGACGTAAATACGCGATTGAGGCTCGAGACAAGGGACATGAAACAAAGTATCATCTATCTCGACTTACGCGGGAACAGTTTTATGATACTGTATCCACTCTTTTCCCCGCACACCGAATAACCTCGAAGGGAAAGGCGATAAATAAGAAACCGCGCGAGCTCCCTGATCAAGGATACCTCTCACGCCAGACGTCAGATGATAAACCTCATCAGACGCGTCCTAACCAGACACGTGCTCGCGACTCCACTCAATCAACGCGACCCAATAAACGAACACGCGCGGAGGCGAAGAACAAGGAACCTCCATTTAAGGATATTAAGAAATGTGCCGACGCACAGTGTGGGTATGACATGTACCAATTGACCCCTAACGGTTATTGGAATGGCAGACATGCACCCACCTGTACACACTTACTTACTAAGCGTGACAAGTGTGAGAAGACCAATGGTTATCACGCCAAGTCTTGTGACAAAAAGCCCGACATTAAGTTGGAGTGAAAGTACTACCAGGTACAATCGTTACAAAGGAAATACAACGACTCCTTAGATGAGCGCGTAATAATCCCTGTATATTGCAATGGAAATAAAGTCCTTGTATTGATTAATCCTGGTTCAGAAATTTCATGTATATCCGACCGCTTTGCACTATTGAAAGACATTGAAAGGCGAACTCAAACTACTCACCTAATCTTAGCAGATGACAAAACTTCTCAGTGTGATACCATGACCACAGATGTTAAAATCTCACTGGCCGATGACAGAAATATCACTACCCAAGCTGTGATAGTTAAGATGCCACAGAAGTTCGACTTAATAGTCGGAATGAGTGATTTACTCACTCTAGGTATAACCGTAACTGGTTTACCAAATAACATAGATCCATTAAAGGATCAATCAGACGATAACTGTCTGAAACCACATAAGCCCCCGTCAGACACAGTCACGGCATTAATACCTGACTTTGCGGACAAAATCATGGATCTGATTCTAGTAAATAAGAAGATAAAGATCACAGATTGGGCAAAATTCCGGTTTAACGACGGATATGTCAGCCTTGACTTAACCAAGGTAGACTTTACTAAGCTCAAATGCCCTTCAAGAAACTATGTTTCTTGGAGACACGAAGCTGTAGCTAAAGAACAAGTTGAGAAATGGTTATCCGATGGGGTAATCGAAATCAATTACCAACAAACGCCAGTTAACTTAGCAATATTGGCAGTTGATCAACACAATTCTGACGGAATATTTAAGAAAGGAGTAAGTCTAGATATGAGTCCAATAAATAAGTTATTGCCGACTCATAGTTTCCATCTCCCTCGTATAAACGAGTTACTGAGACGAATGGAAGGTGCTACGGTGTTTACATCCATAGACCTAACACAGGGGTATCATCAAATGCAAATTTATGAACCCCATCGTAAGTGCTTTAGTTTAACCTGGAAAGGTAAACAATACAGGTTTAGAGGTGCACCTTTCAGGTTGCACTCCTTACCAGCATTCTTCCAACAAGTAATGGAGGACATGTTTGCAGACATGTCTAACGTGTAAGTCTATATAAATGACATAGTCTTCTTTTCTAAGACTAAGGGCGAACATGCCGTATTAGTCAGGCGAGTCCTTCAGAGACTCAACGAACAAAACTTCAAGATTAACGAGAAGAAATGTCACTTCGCCATGAGCGAAATACAGCTCTTAGGCTACCGAATATGTGGGGAAGGTATTAAAATCGACCCCGGTAAGGTGGAACACC